AGTACATACGGGATTAAAAGAGGAGTTTTTTTTCCTCAATGACAGCGCAAGGACTTATACAGCAAGAATAACGCATGAAAAGATTTTGCAACTCGGTTGATCTATTCTATCTGAACCGCCATATTCAACTGACCGCCATATTCAGCTGACCTTACACCAGCCGATTTTTAGAAAAATATTTCGATCGCTGAAAAACGCTTTAATTAGAAAAGATTTCTCTGGTTAAAAACCAGATTCAAGAGTTCGTCGAGACCCTTTAACAGTCTGCACAATTTTACTCAAAAGTATCGAAAAGCGGCAACAAGTCATTAATGGAGAATATATAGTTGAATAAAATGTAATTGTACTATTTTTGGGAAGAATAAAGTTGATGAACGGAAATTATTTGTGACTCAACTCTTCTAGTTATACATTATATTTCTTTCACGTCGGTCTGAGAAGTTAAGTACGGCTACTTTTCACGTTTATGTATATAGCCTTACCAGCTCATAATTATATTACTAAAGAATACTTTTATTGTCATTACAACCAACTGCGATCCAACTGTTGATCTTTTATCCGGTGTAGATGGATACTTGAGCTAGGCTCATACAAATGGCGTGGATTTGCAGATATGTTTTGTATTACTTAGGTTATAAAATCTAATTATGTATGAACACCAGTAACTACAAAATATGCACACCAGTCATTAAAAAACACGCAAAAAAAAAATTCATAATTAAATAATTCCATGCGAAATCTTATACTTGCATGAAAAGATATATTAAAAAGTAACGCATTAAAACAATGACATTGTTAGCCACTTTGTATTAACATAACACACATTGTCTATTTATTTTAAGATGCAATCATTGAAGGTAACTCTGTAAAACATGCTTGGAAGTTCATTGATATTCGATTAATAAAAAAGAGTCATTAGGGATTTGGCGGATATTTCAGTGTTAATGAAACTATTATTTTTATGCGTTAAATATAGAAATGTTTACAGGATCATCAATGAATTTAATTATTTATTTAAATTTTTAGAGAAAGCTTCTTTAAACACATTATTTTAGTATTTTTATTTATCTTACTGCTTTTGTTTATCTCAATACTCTGAGCCGAAACATTTCGAAATCGGAAATAGAGGTGTTCAATGAGATTGAAATACTCTTCTCAATCCCCAGGCACCTGTTTTTCATTAAAAAAATGTAAGTGGTGGCAAAATGACTAGAAATTCGTACCTCATTTAACCCTTAAGCTGTGGGCATTATCAATTGATGTTTCACTGGAAATCAGCGGATATCTTCAGTTGATGATTTAATCTTTTTCCAACGATGCGGCCAACATTCATTTATGTCTCGAGTTTAAATGAATAATAGACAACTATAGGACTCATGAGGTTACTGTTTACTAGGTTTCATTCATTTTCTGGAGTATTTTCTTGAAAATAAATCTGGAAGAACAAACCAAAGACTGTGCTATACATGCATGCATACATCTCGAGCAAAAGGGGCTAAAATGGTGACAATTCGGTGCAAAGAATGCACAACTTCATTATGCATGGATTATTTCAAGAAGTATCACACTTTAAGATATTAAATATTTGAACCTAACATTTGTTTATGTCTCCTTTTTTCCTTCTATAATCTAAAAGAGTTAAAATATTATTTTTATATTTTTGCATGTAATTGAAACAAAAATAAGCATAAAAACTACCGTTTAAAATATGAATATTCTCGTTTTTTAACAGTTTGGCGAGCACCTTTGTGCAAGCTTTTCTCACTTTTTAAGAGTTAATCCTTAAATGTTACTTTTCCGAAGTGGTTTTCAATATAGTTCCCTAAAGATAGGCTCTTTAGGAGCAGGATACATGTTTAAGTTTTTATTTCCTGTTTTTCGCTGTAGCGGCCGAAAAGTGTGTCGTTTTTGAGTATTAAACGATAGAGTAAGGGTAGCAATAAATAAAGATTAATCAGTGCTTTTTTTTACAAAAATGAATATTATTCTGTTATCAGTATTTTTGCCGGAATTATTTTCGCCGATACTTTTAATTTTATGCATTTTAGTTTACTGCTGTAGTCTTTGGTAACAAGGGATCAGTATTTGAATGAAGGTAATTCAATGGCAATCTTGCTGCGCATAATTCGCTTCGACACATGTGCATGTAAACTTTGTGCCACACTAAACCGAGTCTATGCTAACATTATGTTCATAATATCTGAAATTTTAGGTACACATCTCTCAACTCTTTTGGAGAAAGCTTGTTACCACAAAGGCATGCAGCTCGACCATCACCAGGACAGCAGGTAAATATTTCTTTGTTAAATGAATAATTAAAGACTAATTAGTTCCTGTCAAGACTGATAAGAGACTTTTTGTCTGGACATGTAAGTTTTTTTTCGGGTGTGTCGGCTATTGTTATATGACTATGATAAGACATTTTGTCAGGTGACCTAGCAATGTTTGGTCATTTGATCAGCTGTTGACAGTGGACCGGAAACTCTTAATAAAACCCTGTAAATATGCACATCAAATTAGGTTTATTATTAAAGGTAAAAATAGTCGTAATTAAAATTGACTTATGATTGTTTTTATCTATACAAATACGAAAATGTATTGAAAGTGGACAAATTACCAAGTTATGTACAGTAAATTTATATCCAGGATCATGACACCTATCTCCTTTCCTAATAAAATTACTGTTATTAAAATTCGGGATACTTAAAATCAATAGCAATAAAACAAATACAAAACCCATAGTAAGTTGACTGAGGCTGGAAGTTAAAAATTGAAATTTAAAGATAAGTGTCTTCGCATCTTCACCGTTTCTTGAGATGTAAAATTATAATCAGAGTTTGTTGCGTTTTGTTTCCTCTCCAAACATATTATCCAATGGATAAATACATAATTTAGTCTGAAGAAGCCGTTTTGAGGGATGAAACGCGTGACAAATTTTTTAACGATTTTGTAATAGTAATAGTATGTGACAGTCTGTTTCATGCTTAAATACAATCTTCAGGCTATCTATCTATCTATCTATCTATATATATATATATATATATATATATATATATATATATATATATATATATATATATATCATTTCCCCACAAGCCAAGGGGGAATGCCGCTAGTACGAAGGGGGTTACAGAGACTGAAAGTGAGAGAAAAGACTGAATATTGGAGGATTGAGGAAAAGATAAAAGATGAACGGGATTCAAGAAGATAGAATATGGCGATTGATATCGTATTTAATTTTTGAAGATTGTATTTATCAGGGAAGTAAGTAAACGGAAAGAAATTCCACAGGAGGGAAGTGGAAGTTGCATTTAACTATTTCGACCGTAAACGGTTGGGACCCAGTTGCCAATCTAGTAGCACGCTTAAATTCATTATCTCAGGCACAAATGGAAAAAATCTCATCAGAGCAGTTGCTATGAAAATATTTGCAGAAAAGTCAGAGAGGAACCACGCCACGTCGGTGAGAAAGTGACGGTCGAATTGCCAAGTCATGATCATTACATATCCTTCTTCAGATTTTGTCAAGAACCTCTAGATAAATAGCAGGGGTACCAGACTTTGTAAATGTGCAAAATGGACTCTGACGAGAACATTTTTTGGCACGACACAGTGACCAAAATTTCCTTGCAGTAGATGCAGCAATTGGTCCGATGTAGTTGTTCCTCTTCAAGTCAAATGACAAAGAAGGCGCTGTGTGTTGCCCTCCAGGAGTCAAGCATCAGCCATGCCGATGGCAGGTAGAAAAGTCTCTCTATGGTGGTTAAATGCGAGCAGTTTTGTTTTGGAGGCGTTAAAATTTACTAGCCATTTCCTTACCCAGTTAATTACTGGTTGGAATGTCCAATAAAAAAATATATATATATATATATATGTTTTATATGTTCTAATGTTAAATGAAAATGTCCATGAAGATGGTCTTAAATAGACCGAAACGTACGACGTCGACTTTATATTAACATTAATACAGCATAATTGCATATTAAGATTTTTGTTTGTTTTTTCTGTATATTTTTCTTCATATATATATATATATATATATATATATATATATATATATGCATCTTTCATTGAAAGATTTAATCCATCTTTTATTAAGTTTTCCAGCAATATATATATATATATATATATATATATGTGTGTGTGTGTGTAATTAATATATGTGTGTGTATGTATGTATGTGCGTGTGTGTTTGCAGTAGTCGTGCTTAAATATCTTCCATGAACTCTAAATAACTCCACGAGTCTAAAAGAAAAACCTAAAAGACACGAAGGTTTTGAAAATATGTTCTAAAAGAAAAACAGACGACATGGGCGCGTCTGTGATTTCAAATGTCCATTTTTCAACTGCTTTGGACATCTTTCATTTAGTCGGTTTTAACGCAAATTGTTTGGAAGCAAATTTTCGAAAGCTATTGAAATGGTATGTTTTTGTATGTTTCCATCGATTCTAAAATGAAATTGTTTCAAATAATTTAATCAAAATATATTTCCCTGTTTTTTATGGTTTGGATCGAACATTGTTTTTGTTATGTTCATAACGGCTTCTAAAATGCAATCTGATTGTTTGAAATCAACTTGGTCTCACTGCATTCGAATGCAGTAGCGTGCTGGAGAATAGGAACATAGTTCTATTAGTGAATTTCAAATGAGCTTTTTATCAAGAAAATCCCATGTCAACCGGTCACTTTGTATTAAGTAGCTACGGTAACGAATTGAACACACAGCAGAAATCTGGTGGTATCGTGTCATGTGACTAAATATGCATACATCTCTTTCTTTGCCTTGTTCAACGGACAACATTTAAGGATAACGGATTAATGTTGACACGAAGAAGCGAATTGTAGGTTAACAACTTTTTAAATGCAGGAATTTTAACGCTGAGGTGGATGTAAGTGAAATATTAAATAACAACAAAATCAACAATATTTCCTATTGATCTATCAAATATAGATTAACTGCCATCATTTCGATTATTTATACAAATCTCTCCCCTCCTAGATCTATCTCTCTGTCTATCTCAGATTATTCATATCTATCTATCTATCTATCTATCTATCTATTCGAGATGTGATGAAAAGTTCTCGGATAAACTAAGAAGTCATTGTAAAAAGAAAACCAAAATAACCTCTGATTTTTGGTCATTTGTAAAGTAGGTCGAGCTGAATTTTTTTTCAGCAAATTCTTTTCTCCCTTTCACACACACAGAGAAACATAACATCACCCCCACACACACATATATATATATATATATATATATATATATATATATATATATATATATTCTGTTTATACGTTATTTTTTATAGATGTAATTTATTTAAGTAAATGCTCCGTTTTTTAATTAAACAGTTTTAATTAGATTTACCGGGCTGAATGTTCGAGAAGCTTCGTAGAAAATATGCGATTTCTGGCAGGAATCGAACCTGTATAAATAATGGAAACCGTCATTTAATCTGAATTGCTGTTAACCATTTAGCCACAAAGAAACGTCTGGTTAATAAAGTCCGAATTACTGTTTATAAACACACGCCTTCGACGATTTTACTCGATCGATCATATCTGCTCACGAAACGTATCTTCATGAAATAATGACAACATATTATGAAATGGATTAAGTTCGACAACTATTTGATATGTTTTCTGCTTATACATTATTTTTATAGATATCATCTATTTAGGTAAATGCCCGTTTTTTTTTTAATTAAACAGTATTAATTACATTTACCGGTCTGAATGTTCATGAAATTACGTAGAAAATATGCGCTAACTGACAGGAATCGTGATTTGATCTGACTTGCTGTTAACCATTCAGTTATAAAGAATTATTGTTTATAAACAATAATTCATACTCTTTAATTAAAAAACCGAACATTTACTTAAATAAATTATATCTATGAAAACAACGTATAAGCAGAAAATATATTGTTGTACTTAATCCATTTCATAATATATATTTATATATATATTTGGGCAGCAGCCTTTCTTTTATACATCTTTCATTAAATATGACGGACAAGGAAAATATAATTTTTATTTAGTTTTTGCAGCGTTCTTACACGTTTCTGTTTGGTGTAAGTAAAGGATTGAAAAAATTGTCCATTGACCCTAGCGCTTTCGGTCACTTCTTTAGCCATTTTCATCATGGGTATTAACTTCAATGTCCACTTTATATTTACATACGGTCTATTTCTGATACTTTAAACCATAAATATAGCACAACTTAAAACTATATTTTGTCATTATATATATATATATATATATATATATATATATATATATATATATATATATATATATATATATGTGTGCGTGTCTGTGTGTGTGTGCGCGCGTGTGGGTAGTTTAATCAAAAACGACTGACAAGTTGTTGCGGTTAATTTTTTTATTTAATTTTTCTTGTATTCTTATAATTTTCTTCTTTTCTGCACACGAATTGTGTAGAAATTGTATAAATATATATATATATATATTCTGATCTCTGATTTACAGTTTAAACATCGAGTGGCAGTCAAAGCTGTTGTGAATCCACAGAATGAAAAAAACCGTAATGTCCTCCATGACAGTTATGGCATTCAGCTCCCGCTTATATCCCAAACGAAGCAAAGAAAGGTTAGTCTTTTTAGATTTAATTTAAAATTCATTTTTTATATTCCATACGGAATTCTATATATGATTTCTAAAAGTGATTTTGAGATTACTTTAATAAAAAGTACGCATAGAAAAAGTATTTTCAATTGGTATCGATGAATAGGATATTTATATAAACGCAGCCAAGTTATTTTACAGAGAAAATATTAAAATACACTTCTCTGTTGTAAGAAACTATTCTGTTCTTATAAAACGTAAGCGTGTGTATGTTTTGTTTTTAATTTGAATAATTTTAGATTTATTTGTCCAATAGCGAATTATGTTGCCAGGTTCTACTTTTTAATATCACTTTCAAGTTGTGTACTGATTAATCATTGCATGACTTTAATATAAGGATTCAAATCTTTTCCTTTTCAATAAGTTATCCGCTTTTCAGTATATTTGGCATTTATTAATAAACAGGAAAATTTCGCTAGAAACAAAGAAAATATTGCTAAAATGTTATGCAATATCGGTCCTCCCATATAGCAGTTAATGCTGGGCAATCTACTTCAAGATGAAGACAAGTCTTGAAACAACAGAAATGTGGTTCTACAGAAGGATGCTGAGGATACCATGGACTGAATATGTGAGTAACGGAGAAGTTTTAAGGAAAATGTAGAAAAGATACTTAGAACTAGAAAGTGACATTTGAAATTTTTAGAGCATATAATGAGGAAAATGAGCTTGGAGAATTTGACACTCACAGGACATATTGAAAAAAGAGGGACAGAGGAAGGCAACGAATTAGATACCTAACAAGCTCATGTAAATGGTGTGCAGAACGGGTTTTGAAAGAGCGCGGCACATAGAAGTATTCTTCAGAAGTCGATTTAATATATTTTGGTGGGAATTTCGGTTCTTCACTGTCCCGATAATCATGCTCTCTTTGAATCACACTTCATGAATGAAACATGGAAGAACTGTTTTCAAAGACATCAATGTTTGAGAATTGAAACTAAGCAGTCTTTGCTTTTCAGTGATAGTCAACGCATTAACATAGTTGTAAAATCAACAGTAGTATGCGCCAATATTTAAAGTTTTTTCTTCTCTAAAGATATTTTATTGTATATTCAGGCTACAAGAAAAAAGAGATAACGATAGGAACTTTCGCATGCATCTAATGAGTCTATTTTATTTGTCAAGTCACCTCAGATCTTAGACAGTTATGACTCATCACAACTTGATTTTTCTTGCTCTTTTAAGTATTCTTTACCCAATAACATCCTTCTTTGACTCTGTTCTGGCATCAATCTAACCAAACATCTTAAGTAGGTTTTTTTCTTGATTCTCTGGCATTCAGTATGTTCTGAGAGTGTTAAATTCTTCAGGCCATCTTTCCTGTTTATGTGTCTCCGAAATTTCAACCGTCACTTTTTGATTGCATCTATAAGTTTTCTTGTCTTTCATATTTCCCTTAGAATTACTCACTGCTCACATGTTCTTAGTAATCTTTCGTAGAACCATACTTCTGCCGCTTCAAGCCTTTTCTTCATCTGTAAGGAAGCATTTACTGCCATATAAGAGATTAGAAATTGCATAGCTGTTCAGCTCTATTTTCTTTATTCTTAACGATATTTTCATACTTCTCCATATTTTGCTTAGTTTCTTGAAGACATCTTTTGTTATTTCTATACACGTTCGGATTTCCTGTTTCATTTTCGTCGTCAGTTACTTAATTTACTAAATAGCTAAATTTATGTAGCCGAGCGCAATACATAGCTGATATATTGGGTTGTTTTTTGTTGATAATAACCGTGCATTTTATTTTCTTACTGTTTCTTGTTGATTTCTATTGCTATAAGGATTCTTTCAGTTTCCTTTCTGAGTCAGCATCAATTCTGGTGCCATCAAAATATCTTATATTGGTAAGATTTTGTCCACCAATAATAAATCCTCAGCAGAAATTTCGCTACAAGCAAAGAAAAGAGTACTGAACTGTTACGTGATTATCATTCCTCGTATATGGCAGTGAATGCTGGACAATCTTCTCACAGATGAAGAAGAGACCTGAAGCAATAGAAATGTGTTTCTACAGAAAGATGCTGGCAATACCATGGGCCGAACATGTGAGCAACTACAAAGCTTTAAAGAAAATGGAAACAAAAAAAGACACTTATACTTAACATCAGGAAGAGACAGTTGAAATTTCTAGTGCGCGTAATGAGGAAGGAGCACCTGGAGAATCTGATACTCACGGGACAGATTGAAGGCACGAGGGACAGAGGAAAACAAGGCATAACCCACTTAGTGAGCTTGAGTAAATGGATGACAGAGAGAGGTTTAGAATATAGCAAACAGACAAAATTTATTAAGAGCTACGAAGGACAGCAAGTTTTGGATAGCCACAATCACTTACGTCCTGAAAGGACACGGCATATAGAAGGAGTTATTCTAGTTCTTTTAGGATCGTCTTCCTTTACAGATTAAATAAATGCGTTGAGAAGAGGTGTCCTTGTTTTATCCTTTCTATTTTTCTGAATTTACAGAAGTAAATTGCTGTCCGTATGCAGAATATTTCTTCTAAGTTGAAGTTACAGATTATTTGAATATTATTTTCATGCAAATCAAGCAGAGCTAGTATCTCAAGTAGTTATTTTTTTATTGTAATTTATCGACTTAGATTTTTTAATTAAATGAGATTCTTTGAGAACAGTTTCGTATCTAACCAAATTGAGATCTGACTAAAAGTATTTTAATAAATAGAAAAAAAAATACCCTTTGACTATATATTCTTCAATCGGAAAATAAAAGATCTGAAACAGCTCTAGTGTTTTTTTTCCTACTAGAAAAATCAATGCTATTCCTGAGATGCTGTGACTCTCTGGATTCGGAATTTTGAACACAAGAAAGTTTTAGATATACTGATAAAAATATATCCATCCGTCCATGGGTACCCTGTTTCTCTGGGACGCATCATGGTTACCCACACAGACATGACTGTTCTTGGAAAATATATAAGCTTGTATTCCCGTTGCTATCTCCTCAGTTTGAATTCAATGTTGTCTGTTTCCTAGGCTGGCTGCCACCCATATTTTATAGAGCCTTGAATGCAACGCTATCTGTAACTAAGGGAGAAGAGAATTCATGCCTTTAATTTTTCCAAACGCTGTAAAGTGTCAGACGGAACTCAATTTGGTCGAATCCACGCTGTTCACCATTAGGTCACTCTAACCTCCATTAAGAGTACATTCTCACGTACGTAATATGAATGAAGTGTTCTTAATAATTGGGGGTGGGACTTTTTGTTGTTATTAAAATGCAATAAACGTGGTTCTTATTAAAACTGAGGGTTTGAAAATCATTTAAAGTATTAAAATTATTAAACGGGGTGGTTTTAATATGAGGGAGTTGCAAAATTCCCACCAAAACTTTCCGCAATTCTTTTAGGCACCTAGGCCTATATTGGAAGAATATTTTGTTTCTACTTAAAAAATTGAATCGATAGTCAATTGAAGAATTATAATGTAATAGAAAACTGTTTCGTTAAATCGATAAACTTGATTCGTCCATCGTTATCTCAACAAAAATCTTAATATTATAAGTGAATAGAAAAAATAACCAGAAACCATTATAGACAGAATTAAGTGTAAGATATTAGATTTTATTATTTAATGACACAACCATATGTCTATTTCTTTTATGTGAATTCAGGACAATATTCTGACCGTATACAACAAACGATAGAAACTTATATTCATTGATTCGATAATAAGTATAATTTCCCAGAAATATTAGTGATCATCTTTAAGAAGATTAATCTAGATCACAATGGAATAAATTATTAATAAGCTAATTGTAACAGACTTGAATAAAGAAAGGGAAAATAAACTGCTTCCAGTGTATTCTTAAAGTTTTCAGCGAGGAGATAAATTTAGTTGAAGTTTTCATTATTAAGATTAACTGAAATAAAAAACCAACTCATTTTGCTACAGTCACGTCACGAGTATTTTAATCTTGGGAGATTTTGTAGATTCAGCTTTTGAGACGTGCATTGAGTAGTGAAGTAGGAATTTTACATTTTAAACGTAAGAGGAATTTTAAATATTTGATTGCATCTTTAGAGAAAAAAATGATCAAGCGATTATAAAAGAAAGTTTTAAAATGAAATTTTTAACTTATTATTGCATTATATGTGCATATAAAGATAAAATTTCTTTTATGATTTTTCTTACCAAGGTAGATTCAAAAATAAGTTAAGTGACTTACGATGCAGGTATCTTTGCCAAATTGCAAAAATATTCAGAACAGCATACATACTAAATTAGATAAACAGAATTTGATATTCTTTTCTTAGAGATATATTTCATTTAAGGCTAGAAAGAATGGATTAAATGACAGCATATATTCAGATTCCTGAATATGTTTCATAAGATGTGGCTTTTTTTCTCCCGTGTGCAGTGTCTCTTAAGGACATAGGCGATCATGGCTTTTCTCAATTTCCTATCCTTTGTATCTTTTAATAAATAAAAATAACGAAAACATTTACGTATGAATTGGTACTTCTGTCCAGGATCAAATTATCTGTGAACTTTGCCTAAGATAAAATGTCACTTTTCAGCCCTCTGCTGAGGATCAGAGTATAATATCTGTAGGCTCTGTGAATATACACAGGGTGAGATGAGTAAATTGTCGCCATCTTATAGTTTTAATTTCGCCCATGCGCGTGGTCTTTGCTTTTGTCGACTGCTCAGTAGAGTAAGATTGGTTGGGCACCGTCTGTGAAAAAAAGAGCACTATGACGCAATTCGCTCCGCCAGAAATTTGGAAACGTCATGCTGTACTGCCTGACATTCGCGCGGAAAGTTCAAATACGAACATTTCAGAGTGTTTGGGTGTCAATCTGAGAAAAGTGCAAGGAATTCGGAAAGAGTTGGATGAGTTTAAGGGTGATTACGAAAAAAATATGGGGAAAAATAATAAGATTTCATTATTTTAAACATACACAAATACACAAACACGCAACACATTTTTTCGCCTTCGATCTGATGAAGACTAAACGACGAAATGCATAGCCGGATGTGTTTTCGAAACACTATACTTTGTTGAACATTAAACGTTGCTTTTATATTTGTGAATTATTATAAAGTAATGAGTAGGTACGCATTTACACTGACAAATATCGATTGCTAGTCATAAAAAGGAAAACTATAACGAAAATCTTTGTGTATAATTACAAATTACATCTGCAAGTGGCACATGCTTTTATGCCATCAAAGAGTTTAGTATTTAAATCAAATTATTTTAACTTTTTGATGTAAATAATCTTAATATATTCCACAAAAAGTTAATCAGTGCTCTGTCCACATATTGAGCAACATATTCAGTGTTCTTTATTTAATAAGATATTATTAAATTAATAAGCTTTTTGAATAATGAATCGTAAAATCAGTTCTACTGCAGTGTAGTGTTAGTAATTGGTGCTTCTTCGTTAAAAAAGTCTCAGAATATTTAAGTAAGTAAGAAGTTCATTAAAGTTTGATGCAGTGATAAAAATATTTTCATGATATGAAATTCAACCTGAAAATAAAAGTAAATGAAGAGCAAGAATCAATAAAGCTTTCTAGACTATATATCTCCAGAACCTTATCTTACATATCATTAAGTCTATCATTCGTTCATACTTAGAATATTGTTGCCACATATGATCTGGTGCCCCTGCTATTTACCTTGAGATCCTTGATAAAATTCAAAGAAGAATCAGCAATATTATTGGTCCTGATCCGGCAGCTCGGCTTCAGTCATTTTCCCATTGTCATAAGGTTGCTTCTCTGTGTCTTTTCTATGAATGCTTTCATGCTAATTGCTCGGATGAGTTCTTCGCTATGATACCTAGACTCTATGTATTTAAGCGCAGTACTAGACTGGCGTGGAGATCTCATCAATTTGCAGCTGAGTTGGCTTGATGTAACCATAAATTCTATAATATGTTTCTTTTCTTGCATTTCTCTCTTGTGGAACTCATTTCTGGCTCCATGCTTTCCAGCCAACTTTAATCTGCAATAATTTAAATAAAATGTCAATGGATATCTATTGTCCCCCTGATTACTCTTTCTTCTTCCCGCTCATTATTATTGTTTCTGTTCCTAATTCTTTCACACTCTGTAACCCCTTTTGTCTTAGTGGCTTTGCTGCCTCGCATTTAAATATTGTTTTAAAAACAAGTCTTATAATAGTATTTGAAAAGTTGTCAAACAATATTCATTACAATTATAAACATGTCAACAGTATTTAAGCAAAAATCAAATCAAATATTACAGTCATGAATTTGCCCTGCATAAGATCTCTAAAATGCTGAACTACTACATCGTATTTACCCTCGTATACATCAGTGAGTGCTGGAAAATTTCCTCGTAAAGGAAGATGAGACTTTAAGCAACAAAGACGAAGTTCTACCGACTGATTATAAAAATACTATTGTTATGGGAACTTACCCAAAATAATAATGGACTATTCCTGACATTATAAATACTGCGACTCTCAAGAGGTATGAGGATATATTGTAAGACGAGGAGAGATAATTGAGAGCATATTGTAAGGACACTGGAATAGTGATACTTGTCGAGACAACATAGTTCACTCTAACCAAATCTGATAGTCATTACTAATACTTCTATTTCTTTGTATTATATTTCTGTTGTAATATATCTGTGTATTCCATACCTGTGTTCGTATTATTCTTTCATTGGTTCTAACCTTGGACCATCACCGTGGTATAAGGAACTTGGACCATAACAACTATGTATATGACCAACGAAAAAGTTGGAATGGAAACTAGGATACTAATACTTACAATCTGAAAGAAAAAGACACATTATGAGAAAAGAAGGCTTGGAAAATTTAACACTCACGAGATATACTTCTAAGGAAGAACAAATTGAATCAACGATTTTATTTTATTTCTAATTGTTTTGCAGAGTGTACCCATGCACTTTGATGCAGAAGAACATCTTTTTGTTTACCAAAAAAAGGACACTTTTGAAATAATACTCCATTTATCTGTTCACGTTGCTGGCAATAAACATCCGAGCGATGGTTCTTCCATCGTGCAATAGTTCATAATGGACGATAGCTTTCATATTCCACCAGACGCAATGCATCTACTGTAGATGAAATCTTTTTTTCTGACATTGGCATTTGTTTTTCATTTTGTAATAATTACCGTCGTTTTCTGTTTTGAGTTTGTGAACAAATGACACATGAAAGATTGTATTTTTATACCAAATCTCTACTTCTTTGACCTGACTCTAATTTAATAGTCTCTTTCAAAGGTTCTTCCTAAAGAATGGACCGTCTTCCAGAGCGAAGCTTGTCGGATATATCCCAATCTCTATTGTTAAACCTTTTAAGCCAAAAATGATATAACGAGGTTTCACTGTATCTGTGTTTTTGAATGTCTCTCTAGAAATATTACCCTTTCAGAATTCATACAGTAAGCAATAGCGAAGAAGTTGATTTTTAAAATTATAATCCTTTATGGGATTAAACGCTGAAATATAATTTTGGATTGAAGAAATGATTAAGTAATTCTAGACGCAGTTTCGTACCATTGATTCTCGGTTGTGACTTGGTAAGTTGACTCATGAATTGAATTCATTGTAGTGAAATACGTAATTATTTTCCAAAACCCCTCACCTAATATATGTTAATTGGCGAGAGAATATTTTGTGCACAGGTTATATCGCCGACTCAAAAGAAAATTGTCATTGGATCTACAATCGAACGTCTCGCATCTCTTCCGAAAGCTAACAGAATGGACCCTTTGGTAAGTTCATCTAAATTCTAATGTTAATATAAAACTATTGTTTCGGTGTATAAGTGTTGTCTTATGAGGTTATTGGGAATGCGTACGAAATTATTTAATTAGCGAAAATATAATTTATGAAGTGAACGTTTTCATTGTTTAACAATGAAACAACAATTATAATAATAAAAAAATGAAGACAACAACAACAGCAGCAGAGATATTTGTGAATTTATACGACATAGACAAAATTAGTAAACGGATCATTCGTGATTCCGCCTGTTTCTATCTCGATTCGTAACCGAATATACGTTTTTTTTTGCGTTTTGCTTCATGAATGTTCAGTCATCACGTTTCATTTTAATTTGTATATTATGTTGATTTCTGGCTTTTGCATCTTTTTCTTTAATCGTGGTAATTGTGCAATGAAGTTGTTATACCGATTAACGAAAACACAAAAGTGAAACCCTGATATGTAACAATACTTTTCATAACAATATGATACTTCAGTCAGTGCGTGCATGTGCCCCTCCCCCAGAGTCATCATCTTAACGTAGACCTTATATTCTCGCCTTCAATACCTAAGAGACACTGTCCAATTCCTCTCTGGAGTTATATATATATATATATATATATATATATATATATATATATAAAATAGCTAGGAAAAGGCAAAATTTATATGGCATTTTTTGAAAAAGCTAAAAGAGAGCAACCGGTTACGTCCCAGGACGAATGGAATGGCAATTTTTTTCCCCCATTCCATTCGTTAATTTAATTTACACGCTTTTATATTTTTTTATTCCCAGAAAAATAAACTTGATAAATCCTGGGACGTAACCGGTTGTTCTTTTTTAGCTTTTTCAAAAAATGCCATATAAATTTTGCCTTTTCCTAGCTATTATTAAATTCTGTACCACAAAAAACTTATTTAAGAATATATATATATATATAATTATTTATTTAAAAATATGATTCCAAAACGCGACATAAGAAGTCTCTTCAAAACAAGAGCCGAAAACATCAATATAATTATTTAAATTAAATTGAGTTAAAGTAAGCTCTGTTCCATCTTCAAGCGAAATTTTTTTGGAATAACTTATATCTGAAATTTACGTGTTTTAAAAATTGAAATCAAAATTTCCATGGTAACAGCTAGGGCGAATTGTTTAAATTGGGTAGGCAGTGTTGGGTGTTAATAATAAGTATCAGTTCGGTTGGAGTTCGAGCCTGCATTCAGGAAAATATTTCGAATGCTAAAAACGCAGTCTCATTCAACATAACGACTACTCAGAACAAAATAACGTTTGAATAAATTATTACTGCATAAGTATGCATTTAATATATATTATATATATATATATATATATATATATATATATATATATATATATATAGTCAGCAATCCCTCTTTTAAACATGTTTCATTAAAGACGACAGACAAGGTATTGCGATTAAGTTTTTTATTTAATTTTTATTCTGTTCGAACAAATGTTTTCTTTCTGGACACAAAATGTGTAGAAACTGTCCAAATGTTCTATAATTCCGAGCGCTTTCGGCTATACTTTTAGCAATTATCAAGGATGATTTTTCAGTTGGGTGTATGGCTTGTTTGTATGTATCTAGAGTTATAGAGATGTGTTATTTTCCGAACACAGTCATACATGGTAGCCGTGTTCGTAGTTATTATAATTGAGTGTTAGCTTTTTCTTCTTGTATTATTAAGACTTCCATCATTTTTAATCTAATTGCATATGAAAGAGGTTATTATGCTTGTATTTTATACTCGTATGCTTCAGATGGGGTCTGGTAGGTTTGTGTGTGTTTAAATGAGTTCTAGTGTATCTGTGGTCGGATAGGTGTAACGTAAGTCGTCTGATAGTCATGTAGTAATGTGACCGATGTCATTATTTATGAGTTTGATTTGATCAGGAACATAGTTCCTTAAGGGGCATTTGAATTCGTAAATAATGTTCGTTTTTGTAGTTTTGATTTTACAGGTGTGTTGTTATTTTTGAGCATAAGGTCAGCTGTTTTGAATTTTTGTAATAGATAATTTAATTTTTTTTTTTTGTTCGGGTCAACTGGGATAGTGTATTTCTTTAAGATATCTCAAAACGAAAATTCATCATGTTTATAGTTGACGTGCATTTGGCTTTGGCAGAAGATATTTTTATTTATGTTATTTTTTTGTCTGTATGTTCGAAATCGTCATCAGGAGTACGACAAGAAGTAAATGAGATCTCAAGTCTATTTTTTCCTAGACTATGATCTCCGCATTTACAATCATAGATGTGAAGAGAAATAGGACATATGATAACCTTTCCAAACACAGAAACTATGATCTATTGTTGGAATGAAAGTAGTGATGGCACATACCCTAAATGCATAACATAAATCCAGGATGTGGAATTAGTAAATAATAATTACTTCAGATACCTCAGTTGTGGACCAGTTATAACAAGTTCGATATAGGAAATAAGGAAAGTGAACATAAAATAGGCTGTGCTAGAGTTAGTTAATTGGTTAATTGAATTGGTTAAGCATCTCCCCTTACAAGGTCTACATTCAGATAGGGTTCTCGCTTCTCTAGGTCAATTATTAACTATTATTACTGAAAGAATTTATCAAGCTTTAGGTAAGGATGGTAAGGTCAGGCTGCAGTTATTGATATCTAGAAAGGATTTCACATTATTTTGTATTCTGAGCTTCTTCACAAGTTGAAAATTTATGGTATTTTTGGATGAATATTTGAACTGGTTCAAACTTTCTTATCAATTCGCTAAATGAAAGTTGCCTTGAACGGCTACTCTTCTAAATCTTATTGCATTATTGCAGGTGCCTCCCAGAGCTCTGTCTTTGGACCTACGTTATTTCTTATTTTCATCAACGACCTTCCTGATGTCATCAGTTCTCAAAGACATATATGCTGATGCCACAACTATTTATACTTTTCTTAATAGTAAGTCTGGTCGGTTCGATAACGTTAAATTGGCAGCTGATCTCGAGATTGACCTTCAACCTTGTTGTTGAATGGGGCAAAGAATTAATTTTAATATTTAACGCTTCCAAAACGAAACTGCTCTCTTAATCGTCAGAGAGAACCACTTTGCTAACCACCAGGATATTGACTTTTTTCACCTTCTTGGACCAACGTTTTCCGCTGACATGAAGTGGAAAGATTATATTGAATTATCTGCGAGGTCTGCTGCTCGGAAATTTGGTTCATTCTTCTGTGCTAGACAGTTTCTCTCCCCAGAATCTTAGACATTTATAAGTCGACCAATAGTTTATACATTAAATATTCCTGCCACGTTTAGTTTGGTGCTTCTGTTATTTGTTAAAATCCAAAGAAGAATCTGCAATTGATCCTGGTCTGTCATCTCGCCTTCAGTCACATTCCCACTCTGATCTAACGTTGCTTCCCTGTGCTTTTTCTATAAATATTTACGTGATAATTTTTTTTATGAACTTTCTTCTATAGTGCCTAGACTTTATGAATTTAAGCGCAGTACTAGATTGGCATCAAGGTCTCATCATTTTACATTTGAAATGGTTAGATGTAACCATAAGTTCTATGCTAACAAGTTCTTTTCACGCAGTTCGTGGAAATCTCTTCTGTTTTCTTGCTTTCCAGTCAACTCTGATCTTAAAAAAAATTAAAGGGAATGTCAATCGTTATCTTCTGTCTAGTTAATTACTCTCCTTTTATTGTTCTCTCTCTTCTTACTAATGTTTATTCTCCTCATATTTTATCATCCACAATAAGCCCTTGAATGTAGCTTTATTGCTTTGTTTTGGGTGACATGATTAGCATAGTTGCAGTATAAACCACAGGTGGTCTCTGTGGTTGTTGAATAAACACAAGTACGCCTGAGCAAGCGTCTGCAATAGGGATTGGCTAGCCGCCCTAGATGACGGGTATCCCCGAATACGAGTGTCCAATTATAAATACATATATACATATATCTCTTTAATGCTAAAATACAAATTTTATTGGATTAATATAAGAAAAGACTGGAATCTATTCAATCAATTCAGTTTCTTTCAAATTTTCTTTGGCAAGGTTGGTGCTTTCTATGCAGTACCTTTGGGATCCAGTGACGACACGGAACGCAACACGTAGCTAACTGAGATTTTGTATATCGTTCAATACAAAACCCTTAAAACAATCGCTTAACACCTTTACAACAATCGCATTCATTAAACCTCTACTTTGAGTGGCTGTTTTCTCGTTGGCCACACATCTTTGCTTATTACCCTGTTAATTTAAGCGATGAGGAAGAAGGAATTGAAGGGAGGGGAAGAGGTGCATATTATGAGTATATGTAGGATAGATATCGATTGACCCTAAATTTGAATAGGCTAAGATCATAGTGGTCAGAGAAGCATCATATCAGGTGTCTGTTCTACAAGGTGACATTTCTGTGGAAGAGGCTTTAGCAGAGCTTCTTCCTTACGAAGGTAATGGGGATGATTTGACGCCGTGTACGTGGCATGATGGGTCCTAGCTATGAAAGTTTGAACTGGTGGAACTAACGAATGTAGCTTATTTGAACATTTGCCATGGAATTAGCGATAGAATATCGAGAGGTTAGTAGCGTTTCTTCTTTGAGAAATGGATTGCGGGGCAGAAAATAATTCATCACTCACAAGGCTGCGTAACTGCTTTTGTTTTCTGTCAAGTCCGGACAGTGAGGATTAGGCAGTACCAGCCCCAGATATGGCAGCATTACTCAATTCTTGGTTGGATCTGACTCTTGGAAAGACAGATATACATCGGGTACCGCTTATAGTACTACTTGTATGAGTCTATGAAGTTGCGTGCAATTATTTCTAGAATCTAGTTCTCAACTAACGTCGTACTGAAGGACTTGCTTTAATTAAAATAATACGAATTTTATGATTTTGAAACGAGAAAGAAAATCAGTTATTGCGACAAATTTTAAATTTTTACATAAGTTTATATAAATGTTAACAGTAATATAATTAGTGCATTAAAGTAAAGAATATCTTCTAGCGTTGTAATTTTTCTGTAGCTACAGTGATCAGATATGAACGAACTTAAGTGTGTAAGCGCAGTATCTACAATCTATATCTATAATTCTCAAAATGTGTGTGTGTATGTATGTATGTGTGTGTGTATGATCGGATGCTGTTTATGCATTTCCACTGTTTTCATCCGATTTCGATGACATTTTTTTGTTTGATAGATAATTCTTCAGTGCCGATTTTGAGACCAAATTGTTGGCGACAATGGCTCTCCACTACTTCCTGCTCATTATAACTCTCAGCAACGTTTTACTATTTACTATCTGTTCTTGGATATATATCTTCATAAAAACTTTAATAAAACTAGTTTCAATTATTACAATAATATTTATTATTTTACAGTTCCCTTTTCACCCCCCTATTCAAATTGTTGAGTCCCCTTTGGGAATGTGCCTCAGTTGCACCCAAATCTTGTTACTAATATTGATTTTCGAGTAGGCTGACTTTAAACTTAAACTGCTTCAAATGAGTGGCAATTTTCCCAGTAATGAAGGACCCGGTCAAAAACGGGTTATATTGCTAGTATATTCTATTCGCTAATATTTTCATATTTTCGAATTTAATTAATATGCCTGTTAGGTCCATTATGCTTTTTACTTCTTTCTTTATTCTCGAAAAAATTTTAATGAAGAAAAGAGTTTTTAGTATTTTGATAAAGTTTCTAACAATAAGATTTCTGTACAGCTCACTCCTCCACCAATCTCAGAGAAGGACGCACAAAAAGGGCTTCTCAGTTTATTACAACGCGGTCTGATCCCACCTACGGCTGATATTACCCTTGAGCCACCACCAATTGAACTGAAACCGATTAATCACACAGAAGGAAGCCAGAAACCGAAGAAAAAAGTAATTCCATCAATAGTTGGTAAGTTTATTTTAATTTTAGAGAGAGAGAGAGAGAGAGAGAGAGAGAGAGAGAGAGAGAGAGAGTATCACAATACAGGAAATTAGAAATTTGGGCGCCTACCATAGATTGATGATTACCTTAGTTGCAAGTCACTCACAAGTGTATTAGTTTCGATCGACACGGGGAGCCTTGCTATTGTGACGTTCCATCAATCCAAACAGAGAAAATAACAAATTACGTCGTGACTATTCATTAATGAATAAGGAATTCAAATATAAGGGTAAATCTTAATAGTAGAAAAAATTATTCAGTTACAGATATAGACTGGCTTCTGTCATTACTAAAAATAGGCACAGCAGCTTTTTAATGTTACTACTTCCCGAGCAAGGAAATAGTTCTAGGAGAACAGTATCTTTATACAAGAAATACCCTTGAAAATGTAACGCTTTTCTTATTTAAATTTTCAGATGAATCTTAATTCTTAAGTTAATGATTGAATAAGCTCATGACGAGTTATATGATAATAAAATATTCGTAGAAATCACCGTATCGCATAGTTAAATATTTGAGCTTAAGAACTTTAACAAAATATTGCAATAATAATCATAAATATGAATACTGGTCATTATTTAAAGAGGTATGGCGGTACAAAGGAAAAATATTTGAGGTTGACAACTTTTTCCATTTCACTGAAATTAAGTGTTAAACACTTCCATTCTTTTATTTTCTCACTAAAACCGAATAGCGTCTTTTATATGTTTTTTCTATGTTTCCACGCGATCAAAATGGAATAGTTCATTATTTATGAGGTATTGGCAGGGCGTGATGTTCGTGCTTAGAGAGGGACAAGCATAACTATAATAAGATGCTTGCTAGCAATTCTCTGAAAGCCATCTTTACGTACCAACGCTGAAACATTTTCTGCCAAGGTATCTAACGTTTGAACAGAACTTATGGTATGGAGTCATTTTTTCATTCTAATATCTTAGTGTTAAGTAAAGATAAGTAACCTTAGTCAGAATTCGAACTCGGTTAATCGATTCTATTTTCCTTGCTGATATGCATTACGTGATCTTACATCTGCTCTGCAAAGAGAAACTGCCACTAATTTTTCGGTAATTGTAATTCCAAATCTTTGTCAGTTTAAAGGTTTTGCAAGAACAAGCGAAGTCAAGCAAATCTCTATGTATCAATTGTATGTTTTGTTTTGTTTTGTCTGTAATGTTTGTAAATCTTTGAGTACAAAGGAGACAAAAATAAATGTCCCATTTTACTGGTAACTTGAAGTGGTTTTTGTCTTTATTATGACAGTGATTGACTGCCCCAAACATGTTAACAATGCCTAGAAGTAAAAAGACAAACTCTATGAAAGGGCAGAGCACCAAAATAATGTTTACAATGCCTAGAAGTAAAAAGACAAACTGTATGAAAGGGCAGAGCACCAAAATAATAAATGGAAAAAAATATATCTATGGTTTCTATGAAATAATACTGGCCTGAGTAAAGTTGCGATTAAAAACAAATAAAAACAAATAAAAAGAAATATTCTTAAAATATGAACAATCTTTGTCTTTCAGATCAGTGAATTCTTTTTTTTCGTTTGAGCTGAAGTAAATGTTAAAAAAAACAAGAAAACAAAATTGACTGAAAAAAGTATTATTTTCGAATCTCCTTAATTGTCAGATGCAACATTTGTATTTAAAGTCTAGCGAACTTGATAAAGACGTTAGATATGAAAAAAAAACAAAACAAAAAAAAAACAAAAAACAAAGACACTAGTCTGAATAATCAACATTTATTAATTCTTTTCCCAATTAATGTCATAACCATTGCGAGTCAAAACCTTATCATCCTAATTTTATTGTGTAGTGTTTTCTTATCTTCTTATGAATGAGATAACAGGCCATATCATTTTGGACAAAATGTGAACCCAATATTCGGTGCAACTTCAAAACAGTTTTATTGAATCAAATTATCCCTGGAAAAATATACAATAAAAAGTTTTTTCAACTTAAAAAACGTTGCACTAATAATAGTTGAAATGTCCTCAACCCGAAAAGAAGTTATCGAATTCGAGTCATGAAATGTATATATGTAATTGTATATATTCACCCCGCAATTCAACACACTTGGTATAATCCCTACTCAAGTTTCTTTCTCTTTTTTCCATGTACCATGTTCCATCAGGACGTTGGTGAATAATGTTTTCTACAATTTATTGTCCTTACTGTAACTCTTAGCAAATTTTGCATCTTTATTTTTTTCTCCTAAAACCAGTTCAGCCATCCATTTACGTAAGCTCGTTAGGTAGGTTATGCGCTGTTTTTATCTGTCCCTTTTGCTTTGAGTGCCAAATTTTCCAAGTCCTCTTTCCTCATTATGTAGCCTAGAAATTTCAATCTTCTCGTTCTGATGTTCAGTATAAGTGTCTTTTTTGTTTCCATTTTCTCTAAAACTTCGACGTTGCTTCCATCTTCAAACACTTCAAAAAAGATTCAGGTCATTGCAATACAATAAAAACTCGATTTAACGTTCCGCAGTTTGAAGAATATCGGATTTAAAGAAACACTTGTCGATTACGTGGGCCATAATGAACTGATTTAAAAAAAAAATTAAATCATTGATCGAGTTCGTTATAAGTTACTAAGTACATGTCAACCTTGTTGGCTATAAACTTAGCATCAAATGAAAAATCTTGCCGATTTCTGCCTGTCTGTATTATTTTCTCAGGTGATTATTTCCCATACTTTGCACATGTCAGTACAGGCTCTTCACCAAACTTAATTGAAACAGCCTCGCAAGTCTGTGTGCCTTTGTGTGTATAGGGGAGTTTTTGCCGACGAAATCCATAAATGGGAGTTAACTACTCAGTTTAACTGCTGTTATTACGATCCTGTTTTGTAGAATTTGACTTGAGTGGTTTTACCATCTGACAACATTTTTTATACTGATAATTTTTTGCTCTTTTCCATAATTTTACTTTAACTCATACCGTAGCTTCATGTCTAATTAGTTTGAATCTTGAGATGCCACACTTTTTTTTTAGTCTAAGCAAAGATTGGTAAATAATTATCATCTTTGTGTTAGTCTAAAAATATCATAAATAGGAAAGAGTTGTGTTAGACCAAGCAAAGTCTAGGAACTAGATATATACTTTGTGTTACTCTAAGCAAAGTCTGGTAAATAGATATCACCTTTGTGTTAGACTAAGCAAGGTTTGGTAAATAAGTATCTACTTCCTGTCAGTTTAAGCAAAGCCAGGTAAATAGATATCACCTTTGTGTTAGACAAAGAAAAGTTTGAGAAATAGATAAGAGCTGTGTTAGACCAAGCAAATTCTGATAAAAAGGATATCTACTTTCTGTTACTCTAAGCAAAGCCTGGTAAATAGATATGTTTTGTGTTAGACCAAGCAAATTCTGATAAAAGGATATCTACTTTCTGTTACTCTAAGCAAAGCCTGGTAAATAGATATGTTTTGTGTTAGACCAAGCAAATTCTGATAAAAAGGATATCTACTTTCTGTTACTCTAAGCAAAGCCTGGTAAATAGATATGTTTTGTGTTAGACCAAGCAAATTCTGATAAAAAGGATATCTACTTTCTGTTACTCTAAGCAAAGCCTGGTAAATAGATATGTTTTTGTGTTAGACCAAGCAAATTCTGATAAAAGGATATCTACTTTCTGTTACTCTAAAAGCAAAGCCTGGTAAATAGATATGTTTTGTGTTAGACCAAGCAAATTCTGATAAAAAGGATATCTACTTTCTGTTACTCTAAGCAAAGCCTGGTAAATAGATATGTTTTGTGTTAGACCAAGCAAATTCTGATAAAAAGGATATCTACTTTCTGTTACTCTAAGCAAAGCCTGGTAAATAGATATGTTTTGTGTTAGACCAAGCAAATTCTGATAAAAAGGATATCTACTTTCTGTTACTCTAAGCAAAGCCTGGTAAATAGATATGTTTTGTGTTAGACTAAGCAAAGTTTGGTAAATACATGTAGATATATTCAAGTCAACATTTCTCTTAGTTCGGGAATGTTACTGTCTCTACTTGAGTGCATCCATAGACAACTTTACAATTATAGATCTTTTCTGCTTCCTTAACTCTTTTTTGTCTCTGTGCGTTATTTGTATTTTTCTATTATCCGTTTCCTTTTCTTATACTACTTGGCATCAATTCTTTATTTTTGCGTAATACATTTTTTCTTTATAAAACATCCAATTGTTTTTTGGCGGTGATAGTAATGTTGAGGGTTCTTTTTTTTATCTTGAACATATTTCACGAACTTTCTGCTGGAAAGCAGTCATGGAGATATTTTTTCGCTAAAAGAACTAGATTATAAAATCAATAAAGCTGAGAAGAAAATGGAGAGGCGGATCAATAAAAAGGATGACATACCTGGAAGGCAGGAAATAAACAAATAAATAAAACGAAATCGTATTTAACCTCTGAACTGAAGTAGGATTCATTAAATAATAGGCCGATGTGAGCTTCTTACACTTTTCTACAGATTCTCATACTGGTTATCACTAAATTCAAACTTTTAATGAATAATTTTAAATATACTTTTCAAGTATCTATAAAGAACGAGAAAACACGCCTTTAGCCTGTATATTATTTTGATCACGTTTAATTTATTTTAAAAAAGACCAAAACGATAATAAGAGAAAATAACAAAATTGATTTAAATATAATAAACATTTAAATGGGTATTTGTTTAAGTAAATAAACAGTACACACACACACACATATATATATATATATATATATATATATATATATATATATATATATATATATATATGAATGGGTCAGAATCGTGGACCCCATATAGGTTCCATATCAATCAGCTGGGTGTCTTCCACGAAAGTTGTCTTTGCACCATCTGTGGCTATACATTTGGCGATAAGGTGTCCGATGCCGATCTTCTTGTAAAATGCAACATTGGTGGAATTGAGATCTTTCTGGTGCACTCATAACTTTGCTGGGCTGCTCATGTTGCAAGAATGAGTGACGGCAGACTACCTAAGGTCTTCATGTATAGCCAGCTTCACAGTAGACAAAGAAATGTTGGACAGTCGTAACTCAGGTACAAATACAAGTTAAATAATAACCTCTCAGCTGTCAATGTGCCTCATACTGACTTCGACCCAGTTGCCTTGGATAGAGTTAGTTGTGCTAGAGTGGTATCAATAATTTTGAAATCAGTCGTATTGATTGGCTAAGAGATCAAGAACAACTGCGAAAAGCGTCATTTCTTGCTGCTATGTTCTGAGATGATCTCTGTTGCACAATATGTCACTAGTGGAATGCTTTCAACTACAGTCATTTTGCTATATGTATTGTCGATAATTTTTTACTATAAATATGTATTTTATATACTTTCCTAGTGTTTTAATTTTTGTTTGCGGGTTCACAACTTGCCCATAGATGGGACCCTAACAAGTGCTTATTAGTTTCAGGTTGGACCTGGGAACAGCAATTAAGACGTAGTTCCATGCTCCTCAAAACCACTAATCTCCCGACCAGAGACCTTGCTGCTGGATGTAGTTTATCATCATACCCATGACTGCGGGATGATAGAGGAAGATACATAGTTCGTCAATTTCTAAGAATTTTCCTCTCCGAGGCAGATGACAACTTCGAAAGTGATAAGAATATACAGTTGATCTGATCTGATAGAATAGTGCGTTTATTCTGGTCATACTGCAAAAATTCCCTGCATCTTATTTATTTTTGTCTTATTTTCATGATTGCTACACACACGCACAATTATATATATATAACTGTTACTCCGAGTTTTTCAAAAAGCGATCGTCGGAGAACACGAATTCTTGCTGTACGATGTTCGCGTTGCGAGAAACTCGGAGGAACGATTTGAACCTATTCTTTTTTCCCTATTTCGTTGGTTAGTGTTACTGTTCTATCTTGGTCTATATATATATATATATAAACTTCGATCACTTTGGGTTATTGCCTAGGTATGTGTTTGGTTTATTTTTGTTTATTGTTTGCAAATGTTTCCTTTCACTTATTTTGTCTTTTTATTTGTTCTTTCTTTATTTTCTACTTTTGCCTTTTAAATTTTGTTATCATTTGACAGGCTTTGTGTTGGTATGTATATGTTTAGAAAATTAAACAGTTAGGCGGGAGTGCCACTAGTTCGCAAGGGGCCACAGAGAGTGAAAAAATAAGGGGAAAAAACTGGGTATATGGGGGAATGTGGAAAGGATAAAAAAAACGGAGGAGGATAAAAAGAAGGATGGTGATCAAGGCAACAAAAGACGCCAATTGAAATTACATTTAAACTTTTGAAAATTATATTTATCAAAAAAGCAAGTAAGTTGAACAGACTTCAACTGTCGAGAAGTGCAAGAGAAGAAGCTGTTGGAGTAGAAGAGGCGGTTACATTTAACTTTTTCGACCATAAAAAGGTGGGACCAAGATGCCAAACTAGTAGCACACTTAAATTTATGCAGTCGGGACACCAGTGAAAATAGCTCGTCAGAGCAGATGCCATGTAAATATTTATAAAAAAGACAGAGGAAAGCCACATTACGTCAGTGAGAAAGTGTCGAGATCCCAAGTCAGGACCGATAACATTGCATATCTGTCTTTGGATTTTGTTGGGAACCTCGAGATGATTAGCGGGGGCACCAGACCATATATATGGTAACAGTATTTCATGCAAGGACGAATTGTAGATTTGTAGATGTGAAGAATGGACTCAGGCCAGAAAAACCTATTACCGGGACACAGAGAACCAACTATTTAGTTAATGTCTTTGTTCCACCCCAGGTCAGTGTTAAAACGTGAGACCAATAAGGCGCAATGAGGCAGGGAAGCTTCTCTATGGTGAGTAAATGATAGCTGTTTCGTTTTGAATGCATTAAAATTCACAAGTTATTTCCTGCCCCAGTCAACCACAGATTGGACGTCGTTTTCGAGACCAACTGTCAGATCAACTTTATCAGTATTGCTGCATTTACTATTGAGACAGGAGTAAATAGTAGTGTCGAATGTGTAGATGCCTACTTGAGAAATGATGAAGTCGAAGGAAGATCGTTGATGAAGAGCAGAAACATTGTAGGACTAAGAATAGAGCCTTGAGAAACACCAGCATTCGTATGCAAAGAACTGAAAGAGAACCCGTTCAGAACAACCTTCAATTTCCGGTTAGACAGGAAGGATTGGATTACATCAAATAATCGTCTTTTAATACCGTATCCCTGAAGCTTACGTAGAAGCCCAGGATCTCAAACCCTGTCAAACACCTTCGAGATATCTACAGCCACATCTACTTATTCTTAGTATATATATATATATATATATATATATATATACACAAACACACAATAGATTTATCTTATTCTGTCAAGCGGAGTGGCCTTTCTATTAAACTTGAAGCATGTACTTTCCATCATCTCCGTCATTATCAAGTGTGCTAAACATGATGTTGTCGGCGACATTCTTGGATTCTTTTTTAAATCAAATTAGTCGAAAGTGACGTCATGTGTAAAACTGTTACACGGAATGAAGTTACACCGTAAATATTGGGTCGGTCAAAGTTTCAGTGAAGACGACTGAAAAGGTTCTGTGATTAAGTTTTTTTTTCCATTTTATTTTATTCGTATAAGTTTTTTCTTTTCTGGATATAAAATATAGATATAAAAATCTACATACTGAGTTAAAAAATATCCTTGAAAATAGAATAAGCGAAATCGTTCGGAGATACAGAACATTTGGTCAGTTTTTAGACATTCTATTTCCAGAAACGAAACATTGTTACGAACACAAGAAAAACTGAAAAAGCTTAATCGCAGTAAATTATCAGTCGTTTCAATGAAATGAAACTATAAAAGAGTACACAATTATATATAATTTCTATTCTCTAGACAGGTAGGTAGCATGTTTTTTGGGGTTTTTTTGGGGCTTCATTTTTCTTTTACTCTGACGCTATTTGTTCTTGTGATGCAATAAATTAAGTTTATATATATATATATATATATATATATATATATATATATATATATATATATATATATATAAGAAGATGAAAATAAAAATTGTTTTCTTTAGTAGCAAACTGTTACAACTCTGGAATAAACAGATAATACACTTTATCAACTGGAATGAAAATTTAATGAATAATCCTTGGATAATTGTAACTTTGGCTTATCTTGTCAAAATTGCTCATTAATGCTTAGAACATTTATAAAGACATACAAATTAAACATGGGCAATAGTTTCTTCTAAAAAACTGTTTTCAGATGTGTAATCAGTAGTTATCAAAAAGTAAACGCTGTGAAGATTTGCACAAACCTAATAACATATTTTACCTTGGGGAAGAATATCTTTATTGTTGTTTAAAAAAAATACGATGACAATTTAGAACGGTCTTTGAATTGCTATTTTGTCAAATAAAAACCTTATTTATTTGAACTTTTCTCGGTTGAAAACATCCTGAACGTAACAAGGAAGAAATCCCTCAAGCACGAAGTTATTTGATAAAACAAATTCAAAACAGATACACATTGGTTAGATAAATAAAAAAAAAGACAATTCTAGACTTGTCATTACGCTATTTGAAACACGCGCCTCTCACGCAACGTCCAAAATGTCGTTTATGTCAGTTTTCTGTTTACAGAATATCTGCACCATTTGCTTTTTGAAAGACAGAAAATGCAATATCTGCTCAGACTGATAATTTTCATCATTTAAAATACCTTTTCAAGAAACATTTTACATAGGATGTCCCAGAATTAAATATCTATTTTGATGAAATCGGGCATATTTAAATAAACACAAAAAACTGACACTATTTTGACAAAACAAATAGATTTATAAATTGAAAATTTTCAGTATGTGCTCCGTCTGTATCCTTGCAATTTTAAAATCTATTCTTAGCGCTGCGAAACACATTTTGAAGCATTTCAGGACTTATGCGCTGCTAACTGAACGCGTTCTTTAAGCTCTGCTAAACTATTGATCTTTTGGCGATAAATCTTCGTTTTTATGAAACTCCATGCAAAGAAATTCAGCAGAGTCAAAAAGATGCGTTCTTGTGTATTCATTATTAAATGGGTCCTGAAAGGGAATGAAAATAAAATTGGAAATAAAAACATATAAAAATTATAATTATAAACGAAATTAAAAACTTATACACTTAAACAGGATGAACAGAAATAAAAATGAGTTTTTAAAAAATCAATCCGATTTCACTGTAAAAGTTAATTCTAGGATGCCCTGTATTTACTTATTGGGCTAATTGGGGACTGTCTGCTTACTGCCATAGGCATGAACACCGATTTCTGTTACTAGTAGTGAATATGTAAATATTTCACCCACATACAGACTATGTCAGTATTTACAAAGCTTAACCTATTTTGGCACAGCGTTACATACATGGGACATTTTAAATGTCTCAAACTCTGTACAGAAATAATGGTCTAGTATGTTATCTACTTACAGAAAGGTTCTCTTCTAGAGGCCTTCTAAGAAGAATATTAGCCAAGTGTCTCCCTCTCACCCCAGAAATCAGATTCGTCATCGGATGTTTTCGAAATAAAATTTCTAACATTGCCATACATCAATCAGATTAAGTTGCTCCCTGATGATCTTTAGGTAGGGTAACGATAATTTTTATTGTTATCAAACTGATTGTAATATAAAATTTATACTGGCTATATTAACAAAGATAAGAATATATTTCTTTATCTCCACTACAGTACGCCGGGTTGTAATTATTTTTCTATTCCAGCATCCGATCTTTTTTGGTATTATCATTCTTCTTCATTTATCGTCGCCGTCATTTCTGTTATCAAAATAAATAAATAAATACGGTGTTATTGAGAATTAACGTTATTCTCTTATTAAAAGACTTCTGGTTATTTATTCTTTAGATTTTGGTGGCAATTTAATTCCCGTGAAGAATGATACGCCAACAAACGAAGAAAGCGAGAGTCCGAAGAGGTCGATCGTTTCCACCCGTGGCACTCGCCAGGAGTATTTGTCCACTACAAATGTGGGACCCATAAAGGTTAAGAAAATAATCGAAAGCTTAAACCAACCAGTGTCCATTCCTTCCTCTCCTTCCTCAAAGCAAGTCTTGACCGACAGACCCGTTTCGGATATTTTACCTTTTGTAAGTAAGCATAAAAGAAAGAAAAAAAAAGATTTTTTTGTATAATTTGTTTGAAGAATATGTTTTTGAAAAGCCTAAACTTTGAAATTGATTTTTAACATCTTCGCGACTCAGGTTGAAGTCGTCCATCTTTTTAAGGTGTCTCTCAGAATAGCATGACAAATAGTTGTAGTGAATATTGTGAAAAAACAAAAAAAAAAAAAAAACAAAACAAGAAAATACAGGGTGCAGAAAAAGTAACGCCTTTTTTTATTTATTAACTTTTATTAACCAAAAGTAGTTTAAGATTAACTCTGGCTTAGTCGTTCAGGAATGACCCAATCTTAATTTCGAGCTGAGGTGGATAGAACAACGTGGAATGGCCATCAGGATCACAAGGTCTAACAACACCAGAGTTTTTCTTGTGGGGTGTAATGAAAGATCTTGTTTATATGTTCAAACCGAAAACAATTTCTGAATTAAAACTAGCAATTTCTGATAAAGTTTCTGAAATTAAAGTAGAAATATATCAAATGATTTGTTAAAGAGTTGCTAATAGGGTTTAGCGTTGCATTGACCATGAGGTGGAGCATTTTGAACATGTTAAATAGTTTGTTATTTTGATGTAACATTACTATATTTATTTTCTTAAATTACTGTAATTTATTTTTGTTTAATAAAAGTTAATGAATAAAAAGATGTTACTTTTGCCGCAACCTGTACCCAAACCTTGCTCAAAAGCTACAGTAAATAAAAAGCCACTGAGACGTAATGGGTTACTGAAGATAAAATAATGGAAGGAAACTAAGAAAAATTTTACTGAGGAGAAAGGGCAAAAAATGAACAGGATTCAAGGAGATAGAATATGTCAATTGACATTGCATTTACATTTTTTGTAGATTTTAATTCACAAGAAAGTAAGAAGCTGGAAGAGTGTTCCACAAGCGAGAAATGCGAGAGAAGAAACTATTAAAATAGAAGACAGTTATATTTAGCAAGTTCAGAAGTAAAATGATCAGACCGAACTTCTAATCTAATACCACGTTTAAATTAATGAAGTCGAAATACCAAGAAAGAAACTGGAGGTGTTAGAAATTCAAATACTCTTCAGAATTCCGAACTACTAAAGTGGATGAGGTTACCAAGAAGAATGTTGGGGATTTGTAAAGATATGCTATCAGGAATTCCTTGGAGATATATTAATTTTATTGTTATATATATTTTAAAATGAAAAAGAATTCACTAATAATTACAGCCCAGGATTGTAACAAAATAGCTAATATCACTAGTACAGAGGCAGAAATGGAAATGTCAGTTATCTCGGCAGCAAAATTGGCCCAAAATTAGTTTAAACATAGACATAAGTGGGAAAGGTGGAGTGATTTTGTGAAAATTATGCAAATGCCCACGCCGGGAAAAGGTAAGAATTGAAATAAAGTTTGTTTTTTTTCTTTAAAAATGAAAGGTTAAAATTCTTTAAGACTTTTGGAATTCTAACGGATTTACGTATCCAGAGCGGGCAAATAAGGGAGCAAAAATACAAGATAGTGAAAAGCGAGCAAAAATACTCGTTTTTTGGAAAATAAAAATATTTATGAATGAAAAGGCGACAAAAATATTTATAATTATATAGGAATTATTGAAAATCCCAAAAAGAATCTGAAATGTTATAGGCCTTGACATGGCATCTCGTCTTCAGTCATTTCCTAACACCGTAATGTAGCCTCCTGTGTATTTTCTATAAATACTTTCATGATAATTACTCTGATTAACTTTCCTCTATGTATAAATTGTATTCCTTGTAAATATGCATTGGGGTTTCATTTTTAGATGAGATTATTTTTATCCCTCCCCCAGACAAGTTGTACATATGGAAACTAGTTAGGACTATATGGAGGCATCATGATGGTTGTAGTAAGAATGGTAATTAAAAATATGTTCTTTTGGTGTAAGGAATACTTTGGTATGTCTGGATCAGTAATTGAAGCCAGCTAACTTTAAGATGAGACACATTTTTGTATGAGTCATAATAAATATTTCTTTTCCCTATGGTACCTAGATTTTAGGAATTTAAGCGCAGTACTAGATACGCGTCAAGGTCTCATTATTTTACAGTTGAACTGGCTAGATATAACCGGAAGTTCTATGCGAACAGTTTCTTCTATCGCCCTTCTTGCTTATGGAACTCTCTTCTGGCTTCTAGCCTCCCAGTCAACCTTGATCTTCAAAAAAAATGTAATGTCAATCGTTATCTTTTGTCTTCTTAATTCTCGTTCTTTTATTCTCTGTCCTTAATAGTATTTTTCTTTTTTTCCTTATACTCTCTAACACTCAGTAACTCCATAGCATCTTAGTGGCTTTATTGTTTTGCTTGGGGTGAAATTATTAAAAGATGGTTGATAAGCCGTAAAAACCAAATTAATAGAATGACATTTTAACTTTTTGGAGTAAAAGAAGTAAAAAAAAAATCAACAAAAGAAAAAAACAAGAAAAAAAACGGGGGGGTAAAAGAAATGTTAGGTGATTTAAATGTAGTATGTTTATGAGCATACTCCTTGAAACATTGCATATACATTGTCGTCATGCATTCTGTGAACTATTATCATTAATTTGGACTCCTTTTTTTTCTCCTCGAATAATATGCAAGCAGACAAAGCTCAGTCTTTAGCATGTTGTTCCAGCTTTATTTGTATGCAAATACCCCTGGAAATGATACAACCGAATGAACCTTAGTAAATAGTGACCTCAGGAATCTGAGAGTTGCCAATTAATCATTTAGACTCAAATCATGAATGAATGATGCTCTTATCATTAGAAAAAAATTTAAATCATCAATTAATTATGATTGCTGATCTACAATGAAACACCGGTTGATGATGACCGTCTTTTAAAGTTTATTAAATCCTACTCATTCTATGGCAAATTCCATAAATATTTTCGGCAGTCACTTGACTTTAGTTTTCATTAGAGAAAAAATTCTTCATCAAAGCGTTTGGGATCGATCGAAAAGGGTAATAATAGGTTATTCAGAGTCAGGTGAATCTGGCGGGTGGAATAGAACAGACCAACCAAGTTTCGAAATGTTTTCTGTCTTATTCTTGCGATATGCAACCTTGCGTTGCCATGATGTAGAACATTTTCCCTGTTGATGAGTGCAGGGCGCCTTTCGACCAGACTTTTATGGACACAATGCCGATGCTGGACTTATAAATATGCATTTAGTTTTTCATTCCAGTTTAAAAATTCTAAATTAATAATTCTCCGGACGATCTCAACAAACGCAGAAAATTACCTTTCTTCCATGGAGTTCAATTTTCAAGTCGGTTGGGAACATTAATCCCTGTCAATCCACACTGCCTTTTGCGTTCAACATTGTCGTATGTAACCGATTTTTCATCATCCATTATGATATATTTAAGGATCGGCTTATTCCTTTGTCATGAAAAAGGCATTTCAATATAGGTAAACGATCCAATTTTTTCCTTTAGCTAAGAGCGTGTGGAAACCAAACACCCAATTTACTGACTTTCCCTATTTTTTCTAAGTTCGTCTGATAGATTGAGATGGGTTTAACATTTTTCTTAATTAACGAGTGCCATGGCTTGTTTTTAACTAATGGGAGAGTAAATTATCATCAATGACCGATGTTTTTTTGTTCATCTTTTAATGACGTTTCTCTAGAATTAAACCTGGCAAACCATTTTCGTACTTGCCAGTCAGTTATGACTCCTTGAACATAAATACTACATAGATTTCTAGATGACAGTATAGCGTTATTCCCTTGCTTTTACTCCCATAAAATGAATGTATCTACAAACCCCTCCACTATTGAGGCTAAGAAATTCATTCATTAATCCTCTGTGTATGCTGCTACTGGTATGCGAAATTTATTCTTAACTACTATGTATGATTAGGATGATACATTCATCATTATGATTGATTTCAGAGAATAGAAATTGCTCATGACTGAACGTAATATGTTCGTCGAATTGTATGACGTACTAAGTAAAACTGCAACAGATATGGTCGTCGACACATGGTAAAGCTAAAAGAAATCTTATAAAACGTCCACTTTATTCGTGATGAAATTCTTCCTTTATTCAATTCTATTTAACCATGAACACAGCTGCTTATACAGCCACTGGATTTATAAAAACATGAATTTAATTAAGCCACAAACTCCGTTTCGTTAGCAACGCCCTGCACTTCGGTATATGTGCGAGGAAACAGTGGAGTAATTTGGAACAGTTAATTGGAGGCGAGAAGGAAATATGAGAGGCCAAAAGAGCTACTTGAGTCACGAAGCAGTCTCCGGAAATAATGAACATGTCATTTCGTCCATCAGTTTGTATTTGTCTGGCCTAAAAGAATAAAAGAACAGCTAGTCAATGATAATTATTACTATTCCCTGGTTGTTACAGTCTTATAAATTTAAAAAGAATGTAATTAACAATAAATGCAATGTCTGTTGTATGTAATTGAATTATACGAATATTTTATATAAACTCCACACTCCCACATAGAAACGAATGAACAAATTAATCTCTATTAGAGTGGGTTTCACCTAGAGGACAGGATCTTGTTGATAAGGCGAATTAGATACTCACTTATTGCCACATTATTGAAGATATGCTTAGTAAATTTTGTAAGATTAAAAATGTTTTAGCAACCCCGAGAAATATTTATAGCAGCATCCCTTCTTCAGCATGTCTGAAAATCATTCAGTTTTATGCGGAAGATTGGTGAAAAAAGAAGTCGACCTAATTCCCTTATTTCGAGTTGGTAGGGTCGAATAAGAAAATAAAATCTTTCCTGTTATGCATAACAACTAACAATGTTTTGGTTTAAATCATTTGGCCACTTCCAACAGCGTGTTTGTAGCTCCTGAATCTATGTTTTTTGTTTTGTTTATTTTAATACGCTTGTCGTAGAAAGGTAGAGAAAAAATACCTTGCAAGCGTGATTCTTTCAACACAATCCGTAACTGACCAGGATGACTTCCTGGTCTCTTCATATTGACTATCAAGGTCAGAATTACGTAATCATGACGTGCACTTAAGTCACAAGAATAGATTATGTAACTTAGGGTTATCCAAAAATATCTGACTTCTTTGACTACATCATCCACAACTCATTTCTTTGAAAAGCCACATTGTTGAATATATTGCTTCCTTTGGTTGTTTTTTTGTCTTTTGGATTATCTTGAAAATTAATGCAAAAAATGAATTAATTCATTAATAATAATAATAATAATAATAATAATAATACAACGACTTTGAAATCGAAATATCAAAAATGTAGCATATGGGAATATCAACAATCACTGTTGTTGCTGGAGCCTTCGGATTAGTTGGAAGATTCCAATAGACTCATTGATGGGATTCCTGGAAGCCCACGCCTTAAAGAAATACAAAAAAAATGTTCCCACAAGTACAACCCACACCTTACGATCTATGTAAAATATGTGTGTGATGTTTTTTTAATTGGTCAGTGGAAAATGTCATGATGCCATTTCTGACCTTAGGTCTCTGGGCGGGACCCGAAAAGAAATGTGTACACACCAAAAATCAAAGGAAATAATAATAATAATAATAATAATAATAATAAAAAATTATGATGATCGTAATAATAATCATAAATAATTGTAATAATCATATTAATTTATAATCATTAAAATATTTCACCGATTTAGCCTCCGCCAACGACTCCGTCATCGCCGTTGAACGAAATGATGTACAAACTGGCGATCCAAGACGGGAAAACGCGGACGGATACAAATGAATACACAGCGTTCAAGCGGAGCTACCAGAACGAATGGGGAAGGTAGGAAATACATTTCTCGATTTAATTTCTTTGAAATTGTAACATTCTTAACTATGTACCTAGTCAACTGTATGTTATCATCATATTGTGTATCTTTATTGTTATTCTTCTAAATTTCACCTTTTACGCTAATTAGCTGTTTTGTATACAGCCAGTTGAATTTCTCATTATCAATCCCTTAACCGTGTGATCGTAGGGTCGACGCGCAGCTGAACATCTTACGAGCTCTTTCCACATATTCAGGCGCAGCGTGTTTTTGGTAAGTAGACCTGGTGGAACCCAACAGTTCTCAGGTCAAACTATAGCAGATAGCCTCTAACCTGTTTATTCCAGCGGGGTAACCCTTCATCCTGACCGTTGAATTCAATCTAGGAAACGCTCTGCTCAAATATGCCATTTCATTACCACACTGGCTGCATGCTTAGCTATTGAATTCAATTTAACCCATTGTGCTAGATAGTCGTTGACCCCAACAAAAAAAGCTTCATACGCGCATTGGCAGAAAAGCCTGGTGCGGGAAAAGATTGTCGCAATGCAGCAGCTAGTAGTGGACTACATGGTACCAGTAACATGGTACTAATAATGAAATTACATGCATTAAAAATAAACAAATTAGTATTTTTATTTTTATTTTTTTCGCACAATGTCTGATATGTCTTTCAGGAAGCATATTTTACACATGGCTTTAGAAGGCGCTCCGAATTTTCTTTGTAATCAGAACGATTTTGAGCCGTTATAACGTGGCTCAAACTAGACATAAATCCTTCTAAGAAAAATAATTCTGCTATCAGAAAACATTGCTATTCCGTTAAAACTCTACGTTTTCGAAGTCGATAACATTCTAATTCTCTGAAATGGTTATAGTGTTGTTCTTGTCTTACATAAAAAAGGTAATCTTTCTCGTACTGGATTTGACACTCAGTATCGTAGACTTGCTAAACTCGTGTTCATATCGAAGAGATAAGAAAAAAAAAAGAGTACTAAACGTATTCTATCGACCGCCGAATGCAAACCATCTCTTAGTTCTGATGAAAATATGTGTCAATACATGTGTAAAATGGCTTATGTCCACATCACTTTGAACCACCAGTTCCGAAACAATCACCGATTTTAAGCAACGCAAATAGGTGACCGCTTCAAATACACAAGTACTATAAGCTTGGGTGTGATGGTCGTGTAAAGGATCAGGGCTAGGAATTTTTAATCGGGGGGCCGAATTTGAATTGCTGTTGGATTCGTTATATTCACTTACACGCAAATACCATTGGGAAAGGTATGAGTTCACCACTTCTTCCTCAGCTGTGGATTAATTAGTAATATTTGTATCAGTAAAACATGATTATCTAAAAAAATTCTTACAATCTAAAAATATTTTCTGGCTTTAAATAACCTGAAAAGGCTCAATAAACCATAGAAAAATGATTCAAACAGCAAGTGTAAAATAATGAAAACAATTAAGCTCAAATTTCAGAAAACAGTTAATCAAACCACTTGATTCTTATTCTCTAATAAACATCATTCTTGCATTCCTGAATATATTATTTCAATAATCTGCCTTTATAAGGATGCAAATGAACTTGTCCTATTATATTACGAATCGTAATAATTATATATTTTGAATTGATGAGTTAAAGAACAAGTACACTGAACTATATTATTTACGAAAAATAATGTTCTTGGGTGAAGTTAAAAATAACTTTATAAGTAAATGCGTTATTTCGTTAACAGCGAAATCCATGCTTTTACGCTTGCGTCTGTAAGAAAAAGCCAATATGTAAAAAGATATTTTAATTTTCGTTGGGTTTCTGTTCTATTTTGTCTTTTATACTAGCACCTTCAATGATATTTTAATCACTGTTGACTTCCTGATCTAGTATGATAAGAATCTTTTCTTCCAAAATTATTATTATTATTATTATTATTATTATTATTATTATTCCACTTCGATTTAAAATACAAATTCAGTATTGATATTTTCTATGAAAACTACGTCAAGTAGAAATTGATTATTAAAATGAAACCATGTATTAAATGCTCACTTTAAACTCATCACTCCTACTGTACAAACATCAAAGAAAATTGTGGATATCCTTATTTTATGAGTTTAACGCGGTTTTCTTATAAATCTCTTAAGAAAAATCAACTGATATTTTTTTCGGAACATTTTAGATGAAGAATCATTATTATTATCTTGCTAATCGGACTAACATGCTGATCTTTGCTGTTGCACTCACAGGGTTTTAATCGTTCTACCCTCCGTCCATCTTCAGGTAACTCTCTCGTAATTTTATACCGAAACGTTTGTTCACTTTACGAATGTAGATTCCTCTCACTTCTCTTTCCTTCCTAAAGGTACATGAGTTAATACTTACCAGTCTTATTCACGTTTCTGTCACTTGCGCCTTTCCTCTATTGAACCAGAGTATGTAAAATTTTAGCAGCACTATATAACATTGTGGATTAAAGTGTTAGCGAAAACATATCTGCTTACTGAAAATTGTGAGTTCAATCCCTGGGTCTGATTTAGTGGCAGAAACAGATAAAAACGATACAATGGTGAATAAGATGGTGGAGTATTATCTAATACAAAATATATTTATTCGAATCTCGTGGACTGGCGGTACAGAGTCACAAAAAAATCAATGTACCACATAAGAGAAATCACCTCGCTTGAAGACTTTCAACAAAAGTAACAACTAAAATGTACAGTTCATTTAACTCGAAGAGAAAACAATAAAAATAAAAAAAAATAATGAAGATGTTGATGTTTCACATTACTTCAAACAAATAGTTAGGAAGGAAAGCTCTATCAACACCGGAATAGGCGATAATTCTTCCTGAAAAAAGTTTTAATAGTAATTTCAAATGACAGTAGTACTAGATATTCGGTCAACGTATACCGAATGTTCCTTTACAATGGTAATGTTAATATTAGCCTTTTCCTTATATGGAAATATTCGGCATTTATTGACTGGGCAGGAAGTGGTACTGTCAGTTGAAATTTTCTTCTTAAAACAATTTTTCAGGAAAATAGGTTTCTCAAACCCAGTAGCTGTCAATGCTCTTTCCAGTACTTATGATGTTTCCTTCTTAACCTTTTGTTTGTGGCAGTGGGAACTGTTATTATTTTGATAATTTCATTATTCTCTCTTGGAGTTACACGTATCACTCGTTTTCGCTGTTGTTGAAGTCCTTGGGTGACGTGTTTTCCTTTATGCGATGTGGTTTCTAATATTTGGTACAGATATTTGTTTCAGATTCTTCAGCGCCATTCCACGAGATCCACGGAAAGAATAAAACTTGCAATGATAACAATCAACTTCGTGGGTTTAATAAATGTCCGGTTCAAAATTCCCAAAAGTTTGCCAATTACAAAGGCAGTGGCCTGAGGAATGCCAGAGAGTAAAACAGCCGAAATATGAGTATAGCAACCAAGATGGTTCAAATAGTAAAGTACATATTACTGATTAAACCTGCCATTCCAAAATCCCAGCTTACATCCTTTTATATTCCACGCGAGATTTCTTCAATTTCTACCCTATTTTGAATTACTATTTTGCATTTTTTTTTCACCATTATACGAAGTGGGCTGAAAAGTTCTCGGCCTAACCTGAACACTCTTCTCCCAAAATTCAAATACGTGGTCATTTGACTTAGATTTTGGGAAGTAGGTAGATAACATTTCCACACGCCTGGTTAATAAAAACATATGATTGAAATTTCTCCCCAATTCCACGCCACATGCTAAAATTCTTACCTTTAGATCTGAAATTCCTCCTCTGAATGTCAAGTGCCACCCATTTTAGAATCATTAGTTTACTGCTCAGCTAAACTATATGTTGGAAAGACATTTAGAATAATCAAGAACCTATACTGGCTGCAAACGGCATACATGCGGATAGAAAATGAGTTCAGCAGATATACGAAAATAGAAAGGAGCGTAAGGCAAGGATGTGTTTTTTCTAACCACACTTATTCAACCTATACAGCGAGGCAATTCTGGTAGGATTTCCAGTTAGAGAACTGGAAATCCTACCAGATCTTGACAACGTAAGATACGCAGATGACACAAGTACTGATAGCAGCCGCCGAAAGGAAATTACAAAATCTCCTACAGAAGGTAGCGAAGGAGAGCGTGAAGAAAGGACTAAGCATAAACTACAAGAAGACAGAATGCATGGTCATCAGTAAAAAGATGAGCCCAAAATGGGATTTGTAGGTCGGATACAATAAAATCAAGTCGGCGTGGAAATTTAAATATCTGGGAAGTGTTCTGTCAGAGGACGGAAGTGCGACGCTGAGATGGGATCCGAGGACGTACTGAGATGGCCATAGACAAATTCCAAAAGCTAGACAGAGTATTACGAAACAGGAGGATTTCGCTGGTAACAAAGAAAAGAGTACTGAACTGCTTCGGGATATCTATCAACCTTTACGACAGCAAATGTTGGACGATCTCCTCAAAGATAAAGAAGAGACTCGAAACAACGGAGATATGGTTCAACAGAAGGATGATAACAGTATCATGCACTGAACATGTGAGATACGACGAGGTTTTGGAGAGTATGCAAACAAGGAAGATCAGGAAGAGGCAGCTGAAATTTCTGGGACACGTAATGAGAAAGGTGGGTTTGGAGAATCTGATACTCACAGGGTGGATAGAGGAAACGAAAGACAAGGGAAAGCAACGCGTGACATACCTAGCGGGCTTAAGCAAGTGGATGACAGAACAGGGTCTGGGAGAGGTAGCAAAAAGACAAAACATATTGAGAACTACAAGAGATACGGGGAAGTGGAGAGCCATGATCGCCTACGTCCTGAAGGGACATGGCACATAAAAGTAGTTTACACCAATGAAATTACAAAATGAAATGCATTTACAAACAACAGTGTGTGCACTGAGGGCATCACTGCGTTAATAGTATCAAATGTGCATCGTATGAATTTTGTATTTTATTTTTATGTTATACGGATCTATCAATAAATTGAAACATGCATGTTGTG